TAATAAAGCAAATAATAAAAAACAAGTTGTCAACTTAATATAATATCAGGAAACGAGAGCTGCTCTGAAGAAGAGTCAAGCAGGGAAGGAGGGTAGAGAATGGAGGAGGCCAGAAGGATGGAGATGGGGCTGGTCTAGAGAGGGTGTAAGGAAAGCTTTTCTGAGAAAGTAACATTTGGGCAGAGACCTGAGGAATATGCAGGATGAACCATGTCATGGCATGTTTCAGGCAGTGGAAGCTGTGAGTGTAAAGGTTCTGAGGTAGGAGCAAGCTCCGTGGGTTTCAGGAACGTCAGAGGGGCCAGGCCAGCATGGGAGGAGTGGAGTAGGTGAGAGCGTAAATGATAAGAAATGAAATTGGTGATGGAGATCCTTCTTCTGAGGATGATGGGAAGGAACTGGGGGTTTTGAGCCCTGTTGGAGTTAAGTGCTTTGCCCTCCAGGATCACTGTTTGGAAGAGTAATACTACTTTGTATTTATGTCTTAAAGGTTATGCCTTTTTTTATTAGTCAATTTCATTTTTAAGATTCATCTGTGTTTCTTGTAGCTGTAGTTTGTTCATTTTTCTTAACATATAATATTCTATCATATAACTATTCCACAATTAGCTACTCTACTATCGATGAAGGGGTAGTGGTTGTTCAGTGGTAGAATTCTTGCCTTCCATGCGGGAGATCTGGGTTCAATTTCTGGCAGATGCATCTCATGTGCAACCACCACCCATCTGTCAGTGGAGGCTTGCATGTTGCTATGATGCTGAACAGGTTTCAGTGGAGCTTCCAGACTAAGACAGACTAGGAAGAAAGGCTTGGCAATGTACATCTGAAAATCAGCCAGTGAAAACCCTATGGATCACAACAGTCTAATCCACAAACAATCTTGGGATTGGCCCAGGACTGGGTAGCATTTTGTTTTGTTGTGCGTGGGGTTGTCATGAGTCAGGGGCTGACTTGGCGGCAGCTAACAACAACAGCAGCAACACCTGTTGATGGACATTTGAGTTTTGTTTCCAGTTTGTAGACATTATGAACAATGCTGCTGTGAACATCCTCATATATGTAACTTAGGCGCATATACATGAGGTTTCTCTACAGCATATACCCAGAAGTGGAATTGTTGGGTGATAGTAATAGATAGTAGTAGATACCCTCCACGCATCTGTCAGTTTGTTATACTGTGGGGGCTTGTGTGTTGCTGTGATGCTGGAAGCTATGACACCGGTATTCAAATACAAGCAGGGTCACCCACGGTGGAGAGGTTTCAGCTGAGCTTCTAGACTAAGACAGACTAGGAAAAAGAACCCGGCAGTCTACTTCTAAAAGAATTAGCCAGTGTAAACCTTATGAATAGCAGCAGAACGTTGTCTGATATGGTGCTGGAGGATGAGCCCCTTCCAGGTTGGAAGGCTCTCAGAATACGACTAGGGAAGAGCTGTCTCCGCAAAGTAGAGTGGACCTTAAAGTGGATGGAGTCAAGTCTTCGGGACCTTCATTTGCTGATGTGCCATGACTCAAAATAAGAAGAAACAGCTGTGAATATCCATTAATAATTGGAACCTGGAAGGTAAGAAGTATGAATAAGGGAAATTGGAAATCATCAAAAATGAAATGAAACGCGTAAAGGTCGATATCCTAGGCATTAGTGAGCTGAAATGGAGTGGTACGGGTCATTTTGAATTGGACAGTCATATGGTCTACTATGCCAGGAATGACAAATTGAAGAGGAATGACATTGCATTCGTCAAAAAGAACATTTCAAGATCTGTCCTGAAGTAGAACGCTGGCAGTCATAGGATAATATCCATACGCCTACAAGGAAGACCAGTTAATATGACTGTTATTCAAATTTACGCACCAACCACTAAGACCAAAGATGAAGAAATTGAAGATTTTTATCAACTTCTCCAGTCTGAAATTGATCGAACACGAATCAGGATGCACTGGTAATTACTGGTGTTTGGAATGCAAAACTTGGAAAAGAAAGAAGGATCAGTAGTTGGAAAATATGGCCTTGGTGATAGAAATGATGCCAGAGATTGCATGATTGAATTCTGCAAGACCAACGACTTCTTCATTGCAAATACCTTTTTTCACCAACATAAACGGTCACTATACACAGGGGCCTCACCAGATGGAATACACAGGAATCAGATTGACTACATCTGTGGAAAGAGACGATGGAAAAGCTCAATATCATCAGTCAACAAGGCCAGGGGCCGACTGCCGGTCAGACCGTCAGTTACTCACGTGCAAGTTCAAGTTGAAACTGAAGAAAATTAGAACAAATCCACAAGAGCCAAAGTATGGACCTTGAGTATATCCCACCTGAATTTAGAATCTCAAGAATAGATTTGACGCATTGAACACTAATGACAGAAGACCAGACGAGTTGTGGAATGACATCAAGGACATCGTATATGAAGAAAGCAAGAGGTCATTAAAAAGACAGGAGAGAAAGAAAAGACCTATATTGATGTCAGGAGAGACTCTGAAACTTACTCTTGAATGTCAGGTAGCTAAAGGCAAAAGGAAGAAATGATGAAGTCAAAGAGCTATACAGAAGATTTCAAAGGGCGGCTCGAGAAGACAAAGTAAAGTATTATGATGACGTGCAAAGACCTGGAGATAGAAAACCAAAAGGGAAGAACACGCTCAGATTTTCTCAAGCTGAAAGAACTGAAGAAAAATTTCAAGCCTCAAGTTGCAATACTGAAGGATTCTATGGGGAAAATATTAAACGACGCAGAAAGCATCAAAAGAAGATGGAAGCAATACACGGAGTCACTATACCAAAAAGAATGGATCGACGTTCAATCATTTCAGGAGGTAACGTATGATCAGGAACCAATGGTACTGAAGGAAGAAGTCCAAGCTGCGCTGGAGGCGTTGATGAAAAACAAGGCTCCAGGAATTGATGGAATACCAATTGAGATGTTTCAACAAACGGATGCAGCGCTGAAAGTGCCCACTCATCTATGCCAAGAAATTTGAGAGGCAACTATCTGGCCAGTCGAGTGGAAGAGGTCCATATTTATGCCTTTTCCCAAGAAGGGTGATCCAACTGAATGTGGAAATTATTGAACAATATCATTAATATCACATGCAAGCAAAATTTTGCTGAAGACCATTCAAAAGTGGCTGCAGTATATCGATAGGGAACTGCCAGAAATTCAAGCTAGATTTAGAAGAGGATGTGGAACCAGGGATATCTGCTGTCAGGTGGATCCTGGCTGAAAGCAGAGAATACCAGAAAGATGTTTATCTGTGTTTTATTAACTATGCGAAGGCGTTCGACTGTGTGGATCATAACAAATTATAGATTAACATTGCAAATAATGGGAGTTCCAGAACACTTAATTGTGCTCCTGAGGAATCTCTACATGGATCAAGAGGCAGTCATCCGAACAGAACAAGGGGATACTTCATGGTTTAAAGTCAGGAAAGGTGTGTGTCAGAGTTGTATCCTTTCACCATACTTATTCAATCTGTATGTTGAGCAAATAATCTGAGAACCAGGAATATATGAAGAAGAACATGGCATCAGGATTGGAGGAAGACTCATTAACAACCTGCATTATGCAGATGACACAACCTTGCTTGCTGAAAGTGAGGAGGGCTTGAAGCACTTACTGATGAAGATCAAAGACTACAGCCTTCAGTATGGGTTACACCTCAACATAAAGAAAATAGAAATCCTCACAACTAGACCAGTAAGCAATATCATGATAAATGGAGAAAAGCTTGAGGTTGTCAAGGGTTTCATTTTACTTGGATTCATAGTCAACACCTATGGAAGCAGCAGTCAAGAAATCAAAAGACGCATTGCATTGGGCGTATCGGCTGCAAAAGACCCCTTTAAAGTGTTGAAAAGCAAAGATGTCACCTTGAGGACTAAGGTGCACCTGACCCAAGCCATGGTGTTTTCAGTCACCTCATATGCATGTGAAAGCTGCACAAAGAATTGACGTCTTTGAATTGTGGTGTTGACGAAGAATATTGAATATATCGTGGACTGCTAAAGGAACAAACACATCTGTCTTGGAAGAAGTACACTCAGAATGTTCCTTGGAGGCAAGGATTTGAGACTACGTCTCACATACTTTGGACATGTTATCAGGAGGGATCAGTCCCTGGAGATGGATATCATGCTTGGTAAAGTGGAGGGTCAGCAAAAAGAGGAAGACCCTCAAGGAGATGGATTGACACAGTGGCTGCAACAATGAGCTCAAGCATGGCAAGGATTGTGAGGATTGCTGAAAGTGAAGAGTTCTTGAAGCACTTACTGAGGAAGATCAAAGACTACAGCCTTCAGTATGGATTACACCATACTGGATTGTGCATGACCGGGCAGTGTTTCATTCCCTTGCACATAGGGTCGCTATGAGTCGGAACTGACTTGAGGGCACCTAACAGTAACAACATAACAACAAGTAGTGGATACTGAGAAGCTGTCTCCTCAAATGCTTGTGAAGTACAATTTGTACTTTAACTAACAGCAAATGAGTTCCTTTGTTAACAAGCCAGTGTTTTGATGAGTGGGGCTTGGAAATACATTTCCTTGTATCTTTTTAGAATATTATTGAGGAATATCCAAGAAAGCAGTGGCAGTTTCCTGGGTGATAGGTAAGGATGCTGCAAGCCAGGTCAAGAGGAGGAACACTTATTTTTCTATTCTTTCCTTCTTTAGTGTTTGAATTTTTATCACATGCATGCATTTTTTGAAGCCTATTTATTAATAAACCATATCTATGTGTGTGTAAAATTTGATTTTTACAGAAGCAGGGTAGCTGTTGTGCTGATGAAAACACAAAGGCATCTTTAAGCCAATTCCTCCTCTGAGATGACTTGATAAATGTAGAGAGGCTGCTTGGCATTTGTATTTCTGTGAAATCCAAACATTGATACTTAAGAGTGCTTCCGATGAGTGAAATGTGCTTCTGTTTTTATAGATAACACTTTATTTTTGAATTTCAAGCAACATTTTTTGCTCCTTTCCCCAGGCAACAGAAATAGACACCAAAATCAAAGTGTGCACCCGAGCCTACCATCTACTTGTGAAGAAACTGGGCTTTAATCCATATGACATCATCTTTGACCCCAATATCCTCACCATTGGTACTGGGATGGAAGAACACAACTTGTATGCTGTTAATTTTATCTATGCAACAAAAGTCATTAAAGTAAGTTTGGGAATTTTCTCTCTTCTACCCAAGACATGGCTTGAATTTATTTCATGGCTCTAGTGAATAGTTGGAGCTAACGTATATATTCATGGGTGGGGAATATTGACGTTCTTGTTCTTAGGTAGTAAATTGTTTTTCTGAAATATAGGGGCCTTTAATTTTTTATTAATTTTTCTTTTATAGCCCTGTTTTTAATTGTGGAATATAACATACATTCTGGGGAATACAGGAAACATAGAGTTTAATAAGTAATTAATTATGAAGCATATAGCAGCTTTCACTTAGGTCCCAAAATAGAACATAGCTAGTGCCCCCATAATAGCTCTCCCTTTTTGATTATACCCTCATCCTGAACTTTATGAAGTAGCCATCATCCTGAGTTTTGTGGTACCACTTTGTTGTTTTTCTTTATAATTTTATTACTTACGTATTATATCTAAACAATATACATAGTTTAATTTTGCCTGTTTTTGAACTTAATATAAATGGAATCATAAGATACTTTTATACCTTTGTTTTTCTTACTCAACTTCATTTTAAGATTAATCTGTGTTGCTTGTAGCTGTAGTTTGTGCATTTTTATTAATGTATAATATGCTATCGTAAAACTATTCTACAGTTAACCATTCTGCTGTTAATGGACATTTGGGTTAACTCCAGTTTGGCAACATTATGAACAATGCCCGTATGAACATTCTTGTATACGTATCTTGGGCACAGGTGTATGAGTTTCTCTACAGCATATACTCAGAAGAGGAATTGTTGAGTCATAGTAGTAGATAATGACAAACTGTCTCCCCAAATGCATGAGCCAGCTTGTATTTAACCAGCAGTAAATGAGAGTGCCTGTTGTTCCACATTGCATGCTAATACTTGATATTATCATAAGGTGTGCTAGGAGTCTATCTATTTTCCTATATTTATATCTAGCTCTAGCTCTATCATCTCTGTCATTTATCCAGCAAATGTTTTATGGAGCACTCATTATGTATTGGGCCCTGTCATGGTTGCTGTAGAGGTATACAGAGATAAATAGGATTTTGTATTTGCCCTTCAGGAGGTTCAAGTCTAGTAGGAAAAACTATGAAGCTATGCCTTGTGATGCCATAATGTGTGAAGTTTTGGTCTATGTCTAGCATAAAAAACCTCTGAATTACTGTTGAACTTTATATGTTCTTTACTTTCTACTCCTATATATAAAACTTAAGAGGAGTAACTACTGCTCTGAGTAAAGTAGAGGAATCTTCTCACATTTTTAAATTTTTGTCAGGAAACATTACCTGGAGCCAAAATAAGTGGAGGTCTTTCGAACTTGTCTTTCTCCTTTCGAGGAATGGAAGCCATTCGAGAAGCAATGCATGGAGTTTTCCTGTACCATGCAATCAAGGTATGGTAGAAGACCTGTTTGTCCGGTTGAAACCAGCTTTGATTTAGGGCAAGAGTTGGCAAACTTTGGCCTGCAGGTAAAATTTGGCCTGCTGCCACTTTCTGTAAATAAAGTTTTATTAATGGTGCAGTGGTTAAAGCGCTTGGCTGCTAACCAGAAGATCAGTGGTTCAAACTCACTAGCCACTCCACGAGAGAAAGATATGGCAGTCTGCTTCCATAAAGATTACAGCCTAGGAAGCCCTTTGGGGCAGTTCTACTCTGTCCTGTAGAGTTGCTATGAGTCAGAATCCACTCGATGGCAACGAGTTTGGGTGTTTTTTTTTTGTTGTTGTTGTTCATTTACATATAGCCTATGGCTGCATTCATTCTTGCCACAACAGCAGAGTTGAGTAGTTGCAACAAAGACTGTATGACTTAAAATATTTTCTATTTGGCTTTTTACAGAAAAAATTTACTGACGCTTGATTAAGGATATGACTGAAAGTCCTTATTTTTATTTCTCTTACCCTTAGTTTGGTATGGACATGGGGATAGTGAATGCTGGAAACCTCCCTGTATATGATGATATCCATAAGGAACTTCTCCAGCTCTGTGAAGATCTCATCTGGAATAAAGACCCCGAGGCGACCGAGAAGCTCTTACGTTATGCCCAGGTAGAGAGAAAAGCATTCAGTAGATGGCTTTTTCCTATCTTTGAATTTATCACTCATGGTTATTAGACTTTGATTGTAGCAAGTATCTAATCAGATGTTTGGAACATTAAAGTTTTCTACAAAGAGTTCAAGAGAAGGTGTTTAGTTAGGGTGAAGAGGGAGAAACAGGCCATACCTAGCCTGTTTTAGTGCTCTGAACTTATGTTTCTTTAAATTTATTTTAAAATATAAAATTTTTCTTAGAGCAAAGTAACATATATTGTTTAACAATATACTGGAAACATCTTCCCATTTTATTAGCTACTGTCCTTCTTCATCTTTTAAAATGATTATTTTTGTATTTTCTTGTGGGACTGAGTTATTATTAGCTGTTCTCCATTGTTGTATGTTTAGATTTGAGTACCTGCTTATATTAAGATCTGGTCCATTTGAGGCAAGGTCCTACAGTTCAAGGCTTGAGAATACACATTTGCTCTGTAAAAATGAGAATAAAACAAAAAACAAAAAAACCTGTTGTTGTTGATTCTGACTCATAGTGACCCTATAAATGAGAATAATTATAGTTAATCCAAAAATCAATTCCTTGTTTCACACCTTTTACCGTATTTTTATGCAAATAATGTACACCTTCTGTGTTTGTTTGCCGGCCGTGTCCTCCCCTCCACCTCTTAGGTACCCTCACAAGCGCCCAGTCCTTTTCCACATGTTGCTGGCAATAAAAAAAAGAGCGTAGTGTGCTTATGAAAGTATCCCTCAAGGGTAGGGTGAGGCCTGCAAACAGCTGCAGAAGGCGCATGTTATTTGCATAAAAATATGGTATACATTGGGCACAGTGCCGGGCACATTAAGTGTTTATCACAGGTGCTGCTTCCTAGTTCAGATTAAAGACAGATGAGATCTTTACCTCAAAAAAAAAACTTACCTTACATTTTAATTAGCTTATGTCTAAGTTATGTGCTGCTATAACAGAAGTACCACAGTGGATTACTTTAACAAACAGAAATGTATTCTCTCAAAATTTACGAAGCTAGAAGTCTGAATTCAGGGTGCTAGCTCCAGGGGAAGGCTTTCTCTTTGTGTCAGCTCTGGGGGAAGGTCCTTGTCATCAATCTTCCCCTGGTCTAGGAGCTTCTCAGCGCAGGGTCTCCGGGTCCAAAGAATGAGCTCTGCTCCTGACATTTCTTTCTTGGTGGTATGAAGTCCCTGTCCCCACTGGTTGCTTCTCTCCTTTATATTTCAAAAGAGATTGACTCAAGATATAACCTAATCCTGTAGATTGATTCCTGCCTCGTTAACATAACTGCTTCTAATCTTGCCTCGTTAACATCATAGAGGTAGGATTTCCAACACATAAGATAACCACATCAGATCACAAAATGGTGGACAACCACTCAATGCTGGGAATCATGGCCTAGCCAAGTTGACACACATTTTTGGGTGACACAATTCAGTCCATAACAGTTTAAGAGAATGACGGCAAAGGAAGACACTTTTCTAACAAAGCATGTTGGAGAAGTAGTAGGATGCTTTTTGTATATATTGCCAATTTTGTGAATGTTTTACATGTTGAAACCTGAATTTAACTGTGGCATGAATGCTAACTTTTCTTCTTACACCTAAGGGCAATAAAATATTCTGGAAAAAGGATAGGACAATATAGGATTAACTGTAGCCTTGATTTATCAGCTTTATTGGTGGTAGAATGTAGATTTCTGAAACTGCTTATGGGAGCAAAGCTGATTAGAGTTCACACTCTCTCCCAGTGAGCGCCTGGCCTTCATCTCAGTTCCTTTAAAGATGTTTCTAATTTCTCAGATGGAGCCAGGACAGAAATACACATCAAGTTCTGCTTCTCAGCTCATTGCATAAGGCACAATCTTTAGAAATTTCTCTTCCTGTTTTTGCTTATGTAGACAAAGCTCTTAGCCTTTTATTATTCTTTGAGCAAAAAGAGCGTACAAAAACTTTCTTTAGTCTTTGGGTGTTAAACACCATTTAGTTTTCAGTCATAGACTTATCTTCCATATTGTAGGAGCCCTTCATTAATAACTGATGGAGGTAGGAGGTAGGTAGGGTTCTGTTGAAGGCCAAAAAAGCTCCTCTAATCATGACTTGTGCTAAAGAGCTCTTAATTAACCCTTAAAATGATGTACTAGTTCATCCTTTCCTCCCACCTGTCCAGATGTGGCAGTTCTCTCACTTAGGACAGATGGGCTCCTTATTTGTAAGACGATTAACAAGTAAGGTTTTGCTGCCATTGTGTTTCACAGTAGACGTTCTTTTTAGTCTGTGTTCGTTTTTAGCGTTTGTTTACAAGTTTTTTTCTGTGTATTAAGCCTAGCTACCAAGAGGTTTTGCCCCTAGAGGCACAGCCAAATTGAGAGAAATCTTAATAGCAATTGTGAGAGTTTAACAATCCATCATATAAGAAATTGCTTCCCTCTTAATGTAACCACAAGGACTTATTATAAGCCATTGACCCATCTGTCAAGTGGACTAAATGTCTACATTCAAGGTGACTTCCCTTACCATTCAGACAATTAATCACCAAAACAGGAGTACTTTAACAACTCCCGGGAGTCACCAGCTCAGTAACAATTCCACGGGAGACAAAGGACTACAAATGGAGCGTGAAAAGAGGAATATTATGAGGCAAATAAGAGTTGAGGGTTTTTTGTTTTTTTTTTTTAAATAAGGAAATTATTTTCTCTTGTTATTAAGTAATGACATCTGCAGCCAAGTTCCTTTCTGATACTTTATTGAAAAGAGTAGAAAGAGTCCTGTCTCTGATTGTCCTAGGATCTCTAATTCCACATTTGAGGAGTAATGGGCTTTATTGAAAAATAATTCCCCTAATTTGGTGTAGACTGACCTGTGGTGAGTAAATTATTTTTGGTAATAAAAAGTTCCAGGTGTCATGGTACCATGTAATTCACATGTATCTTCTTTATTATGTGGGATCCTAACAGAGGTCATGCCTCCATTGGACTGGAAGGATCTTTGCTCTGAATAGGATGGATCTTGAATGACTCCTAATGGCTAGAATATTTATGATACTTTTCTGAAAAAGTTCCTCAAGTCTTCAGGTTCCTTGATTTATTGCCTTTTGAGCTCATGTTCTTTTCTGCCATTCTCTAGAAAAGTATATTCCCCTTAATGCTGGTCCGATTTGATATCACAAGCAAAACACAGGATCACTATAAGGACCCTGTGAAACAGAAGCAAGTCTAGAGCACTTGGAAATTATTTTTGTGTCAGCATTATGTATGAACGAATCCAAGGAGTAGTCAGATGGATGTGACAAGTGATTGGTCAGTTTCCTTGGTAGCATGCTATTTATTGAGCTTCCACAATGTGCCTGAAACTGGTCTAACTTAGTATGTAAAAACAGTGCAGCACTTTGCAGTTAGATAATGGGGAATGCCCTGTTGTTGTCGTTGTTAATTGCTATCCAGTCAGCTCTGACTCATGGTGACCACACGTGTAATAGAACGAAGTGTCGGCCCGATACTGCGCCATCCTCACAAGTGTTGGTATGTTGGAGCCCACTGTCGCAGCTATTGTGTCAGTTCCTTACTGAGTAACTATTTGGAGAGAAAGATGGGCTCAGCATGCCATTTTGTACTTCTGAAATAACTGCTTTTAAATGCTACTATTTCATTTTAAGTATTGATTTTCTTAAGCAGGCTTATCAGGTTGAGTAGTTTTCATTGATTGCAGCCCTCACCACTTCAGTGAAATCTTCACTGGCCTCTGTATCCTGATTTTCCACTGTCCATGATACTTATTAAGGAGCCCTGGTGGCTCAAGTTGAGCACTCAGCTGCTAACTGAAGGTTGCTGCTTCGAACCCACCCAGTGGCTCGGGGGGCTAAAGACCTGGCAATCTGTTCGCATAAAATTTACGGCCTGGAAAACCCTATAGAGCAGTTTTATTCTGTCACATGGGGTCACTATGAGTCAGAATTGACTCGATGACACCTAATAACAACTTCATGCTTATTAACCCCTCCCCTGTCCCATATATATTAGCATACTGTGATATTTTCCTATAAACATGTCAGATGCTTTTTCCATATTGTTCAGAGCACTCTGCCCTGCTTTTAGATGTCAAGCTTCATGCCCTAGGCAGGAATTGTCTGATTGTGTGGCAGGTAGAACACATGGTATTTACATGTAATATGAATGTGAGCCTTAAAAGGACTATTTCTTTTTAAATTACCATCTTGTTTGAGTTTTTCAGTATGTGAGAGAGTCCTTGTATTGTCATTATTCCGGTTACTACTCTGGTCCTGAGTTTTGGTGTTCTTCCCAGTTCCTTCCTTTTTCTCTTACACATTGTCCATTACTTAAAGCCTTTATGCTTCTCCTCTCTATCTCTTGCTGTTACCAGCACTGTAGTCCAGGCCCTTGTCATGGACTGTTAAGATATTCTCCCCGTATGGTTTTCCTTAAAAACACTTCTTTGAATGTTACTCTGCAGCTTCTGAAAATTGAACAGTGTAAACCCCTCCCCCCAATCTCCTGACAATTACCTGGAAGGTTAAATCCAAACTCCGAAGTTTAGATTCCTGGCCGTCTGTGATTTGGCCTCTACTGTCCTTCACAAACATAGCTCCAGAAAAATCAGTTTTTATTCAGCATCAATTCATTAGACTAGTATTTACTGAACTCTTGTTTTGTGCTAGGCATTTTCCCCAGCTTTGAGGATCTAACTAGTAAAAGAGGTGTACTGTACCCTCTACCCTGTAGTTTGGGAGAGGTGAAAAAAATGTAAAGAGGCAGTACGTTAAGTGGTATGATGGGGAAATACAGAATGCTACGGGAATGCTCAGGAGGGCCGCTCAGCCCAAATGCAGAGGTGGTCAGGGAAAACCTCCCAAAGGAAGCGCTGGGCTCAGGTGAGACCTGAAAGTTAACCCTTTGGTGACCCAATTATTTTCCGCTTTGAATTTGTTGTTGATACCATGTGTTTTCATTAATGGAAGCATTCTGGATCATTGAGTGTGTCTGATTTTTGGGTAGGTCGTACGGATTTTTTTTTCTTGACCCCTCCCATAAGCCTACCCTCAAACTTTAGTGGTATATATATGAAGTACCACTAACTATACTCCAGAGTCCCCACTGGAATCTATTGGTACATATGTGTAACAAATAAAAATTACCGCAATTTCTATTTTTCCTACCAAAAATTCAGACACCTCATAACAGTATCCTATAAAAACAGTAATTTGTGGCACACACCCATTTGTTCAGTTTCAGACAGTCATAATGACCGCTGCCTTGTGGGCTCAGGTGAGCACTATCAGTGGTATAAGCAGCTTCCCACTAAACCCCAGATGCTGAAAAAGATCATGGTCACTATATGTACCGCTAGACACAAATGAAATAGGAGTTAGCCAGGTTAAGGTTTGGGCTTGGGATGTGGAGCTAGTGGTTCCTGCCAGGGGAGGAACATTTGCATCTAGCCAGTGCCTGGCATTGTGCGAGGTGCTAAATAAATGTATGGGCAAATACGAAGACTCAGAGGTCAGAGAGACAACAGAGAGTGTGAGGAGCTGAAATGTTCAGGATGGCCAAAGCCTGTTGGGAATAGAAAAAGCTGAAGCTAAAGGAGAAAGCCAGACCAGGGCATTGTATGGCACGGTAAGGAGTCAGTACGTACGCTGAGAGTGATGGGGAACTTCTAAACGGCTTTTTCACGGGGAGCGATCTGATCAGATTTGCATTTTGGAAGGTCCATTCTGGCTACAGTGTGGAAGATAAATTGGGGACCAGAGTGATTCTGGGTTGCAGAGACCAGGTAGTTGCTTGGACTATGATAGTAGAAGTGGGAGTGGAGAGAAGAAATATTGAGGTGGTATAATCATTAGGATTAGGTGATTAGTTGAATTTGAGGAATGAATGGAGATTCAAGGATGATACCTAGGTTTCTAGTTTGGGAAGCTAGTGCCACCAATTGAGATGGAGAAACAGATGAGGTAATGCAGTTCCCCACATGTACCATGATCATTGCTACTTCTGTCCCTTTGCTGCGTCTGTCCTTTCTCAAGAGCCAGGTCCTCTGAAGCCTCTCGTCACCACTCTAATTTATGGTAATTGCTCTTTCCTCAAAATTCCCTAGTTTGTATCATCCACTCATTCAGCCCTTGGCACATGCTTTCTTTCATAGCTTACCTTTCTTCATATATTATACCTCCTAGTGTGCCCACCTCCAGAATGGTGTCTGACTTAGCTTTATTACAGCGTTCCTACACATATTTGTGGATAATGGTGATCCTAGTTGAGACCTTAAAAAGCTCACCAGGTTTGGTGTATAGCTTCTCTTACTGTCCTGGAAATACTTTGTCCTAAGTTGTTACCTTTTAGGAAAGAAGGAAAGAAAAACATGGAACCTCATCTGTCTCTCTGCTAAGATCTTTAAATCCTAAAAGATTTCTCTTTTCCTCTCTCCTTGCCTCAGACATTTATTGAGATCTTAATTCATGCTAGACACTTTACTACGGGCTGGAAACATAAAAGAATAAGACACAGTTTTTGGTGCCAAATGGTTTAGTCAAGTGACCTGTTATACCTTTCTCTCTGACCTAATTTCAATTCAGACTCATGGAAAAGGAGGGAAAAAAGTCATTCAGACAGACGAGTGGAGGAATGGCCCCATTGAAGAACGCCTCGAGTATGCCCTTGTCAAGGTGAGTTATGGGAACACTGAGCACGAACTGGACATGCTGGGGCTCATCATGCACATCTAATGCTGGTGCTGGAGGAGGAGACTCCCTGGACCAGTGGTCCCTGACTGGAGCGATTTCGACCCCCAGAGCAATTTGGTAATGTTTGGAGACATTTCTGGTTTTTACAACTGGGGGTTTGGGATGCAACTGACATTCAGTCGCCAGGGATGCTGCTAAACATCCTACAATGCACTGGATAGCCCTTACAACAAAGAATTACCCAGCCCAAAATGTCCATAGTGCCGAGGTTGAGAAACTCTGTTTTAGACCAGGGAGTTGTCAGTAATAAGTCATGGATCTTCTCCTGATAATTGGAATTTTAGGCAAGATAATTTCTTGACTTCAGCTTCCTCTTTTGTGAGTCTTGAGAATTTAGAGCTCTTTTTTTAACTTCAGAATTTAAGTTTTAATTTCTTGGACCTTTTGAGATTCACATATTTCAGTTTATGGAGCTAGTCAGCCACATCCAAGGATCCTTGAACTGGGGACTCCGGAGGAGTATGGCTTGATTAGTAAAGGCTGGACATGTCAGGGGAGGCTTCATGGATTTCAACCTCCAACTAAGGCCCTTGCCCATTGTCGTTCCTCCTCCATCCCTTTAACATTTCAGTAAGAAAACATACTGACTTCGTGGGAGGTATTTATTAATATGTAATCTATCAAGCCACTAGGATACAAAGTATATTTTATTATGAATTTGAATTTTACTTCTGAGTACTTCATCTCTCACTAATAGCTCACTTTTACCGAATACTTTTTCTCAGTAAAGACAACTAAGCACTTTACATGGGTTTTTTCATTTAATCCTCAAAATAACTATATGAGGTAGGTACTATTGTGATGTTTTAATTGAGGAAACCAAAGCTTAATAAATTGCCTAAATGAGCGATGAGAGGCAGGATTTTAACCCATGCATTCTGATTCCAGAAGCTGCAGTCTTTAGCATTTCTGTAATTCATTCTTTGTTGGTTATTTGAACTTAAGGCAATTTTTTATGTGATTTTTATCTGATATATATACATATATTTTTTCTGTAGGGCATTGAAAAACATATTATTGAGGATACTGAGGAAGCCAGATTAAACCAGGACAAATATCCTCGACCTCTGAATATAATTGAAGGGCCCCTGATGAATGGCATGAAAGTTGTTGGTGATCTTTTTGGAGCTGGAAAAATGTTTCTACCTCAGGTTGGTAAAAGATGGGATGAAATTTTCACAGTTGAATCTTTTCTGTGACTTTTAATAAATAGTGTGTTTGGGTGTATTTCTCAGAATTTGGACAAGAGCTCAAAGGTCTTTCCTTCTGTAAATGTGTTTAGGAGTACCAGTAACGTCTGGGAAAATCTATCTTTTGGGCGGTATGGAGATTAGATGTCACTTGGAAGTTCTTAGCATCTAATCTTCAGTGCCGCCTCTTACCCCCAACAAAACAAAATAAAACCCAAGATAAATTTAAAGTTAATAATGTTAAGATTTGATTTGACTAGCTAGTGTTCATCTTTAAGGATGCATCTTTTGAAAACAAAATTATTTCTAATAGTGGTCTATTAAATGATATGTTTCAAATAAAATCAGAACTCTTAGTTTCAGTTACAATAGCTACTAATTACATCAGTTAACAAATACTTGTTGAGCATGTAGGTTGGGGCTATGAGGCATACAAAAAGCTAAAGGTCTCTGTTCTTGCTTATGCATAAGGCTTAATTGTGAGTCATATGCCAGGGATTCAGAAGAGAAGGCTGGGATTGGGTTCCTGGCAGAGAAGATTGAAACTTGGAGGATGCATAGAACTTGAAGAAGTGATGGAGGATGTTCTAGGCAGAGGGAAAATAATGTGTAAGAGTTTGGAGGACAGAAATTGTACACTTTTGATTTCTCATCTTGTTTTCCTTCTGCTTGTACTTCTTCCATTGGCCTTCCCCACAGGAAGCTTATTCCTTATCCTGCCCACTCTCAAGAGTAGACCCCACTGTAGCTGGCCTGAGGAGGAAAGCATGCATTCTTAATTTGTGCTAAAATTTCACAAGTGGACATTAGCAGCAACGCAGGTGATTTGCTAAAGGTGCCTAACTGTTTGTGTTTTCCCAGGTTATAAAGTCAGCTCGGGTCATGAAGAAGGCCGTTGGCCACCTTATTCCCTTCATGGAAAAAGAAAGAGAAGAAACCAGAGGGCTTACTGGTGCAGTAGAAGAAGAGGCAAGTTGTTTTGTCCAGGCCTGAGGGCCCTTGAAGGAGTTGACCCTGATGACTCTTACTAGGGTGGAGGGAGGGATCTAAGTGATTGGGCTTACCTGCAGTTGTCATTGAAGATAAAATAGAGAAATGAACCAGCGCTTGTCTTTTCTCTTATCAAGTATCAGAATACCTTAGGATTTTCCTTTGAATGTGACTTTATGAAATCCTCAATATAGGCATAATTTTTCAATCAAAGCCTATGATTTCAAGACAAAACCAATTTTCTCATTCATTCATTCATTCATCTACTGATCATTTACAGAGCTCCTACTCTGTGCCAGATCCTGTGTAGTTCCCTGCCCTTGAGGTAATTGAGTATGTTTGTTTTTGGAAAACTCTTAACTGAATAGTCTCTGCTTATTGGTAATGTCTTTGGAACCACTTCTGGATTCAATTTAATTCTTGTTGGCTGCACCACCATAGTAAATCGTTAAGGTTTTTGATCTTGTTTAGTAACCTGTGAAGCTCAGTCAGCTCTGGCCCCTTGGATTCTGAATTCTTAAATTGACTGAAGTTTGTGACTGGCACAGACAGACATGGTGTTCATAAACATCCCACTTGTCTTGCATACCTTTTTTTTTTTTTGGATGCTGACAGTGCATAGAACAACAGTGTTAAAGAAATAGGAAGGTAATCAAATGCCCCTCTGCACTGGGCTGTTGTGGTCAGGGAAGGATTACCCAGTAAGCAAGGTATGCACGGGCTTACTTGTGCTTACTTACTAATCTGTAGTGCACGGTGTCCCCTGTTTTTTACCACAAACCTAAGCGAAATTGTGCACTACAGATTAGTAAGCAAGCACAAGTAAGCCCGTGTGTAACTTGCTTACTGGTTAATCCACCCCTGGTTGTGGTTGTTTTTCAGATTCTGATGGGACATAGCCAGTTAACTGACTCTTCACTCTCGCTCTTCCCTATTCCTTCTAACAGTAAACATGCATCAGGTTTTAGGAGTTAAGTATATGGTCTTCAGCCATGTGACTGTTTTGTGTTAGTAGTTAAACTGTCCCTTTGAAGTGATGGAGCTCATGATCTTGGTTGGCTGCTTTAGCCCCCGAGCTAACTAACTAGGTAGGCTTCCTTTGAACTATTTGGACTTACTTTCTACTTGGAGAGCATTTATCTTTAAGATTATCTTGGTTGTATTAAATTGCCTTCTGTGCCAACGTCTGTCTGAATTTAGAGGACTAGGTGATCTGCTCTAACATGATTACAGCAGTGCTTAGCTACTTGGCTTCCTCTCCAGGATCCTTACCATGGCACCATTGTGTTGGCCACTGTTAAAGGCGATGTGCACGACATAGGCAAGAACATAGTTGGAGTAGTCCTTGGCTGCAATAATTTCAGGTAGGTTAACAACTCACCTCTTTTCAATCCTTTTCTAGTTAAATATGAAAGCATTAACAGGGTAATTACTTATTGGGTGGGAGAGGTAGGCTTTGACCATGGATGTTAGAGGTTGTTTTTATTTCTTCTTTTTGCTTACCTGTATTTCCAAATTCTCTACAGTGAACACACCATTTCAAATGAAATCAGTGAATAATTATCTATCTTCTCTGTGTTTAGTAAGGGCAAAAAAATACAGTAAAAGCTATTTTAAAAAGTTTAAGTCGGGTTAAGACAACCAAGAGGCCTCTTGAGCGTTGACCTTAGGACGGAGGCTCTAATGGCTGGTATGTTAGGCTTCTCCCATGATCAGGGGTGCTTATCATGTTCCTTTTTTCCCTTAATAAACTGTCAGATTTTAGAACTGAGATCTTACGAGATTCTGGCTAAATGGGAGTTTTTGTAGGAAGGCTTTGTCTGTCTTTACTTTGCTCAGAACAGGACCATGTGTGCTTCTTGGTGGTGATGAACCTAGTTTCTGGAATATTGTATACAAGTAAAATCCCTTTCTGATGTATCTCATTATAGGGAATAAATATTCATAAAGTTATTTCCGTGTCAGAGCTGTTGACCTATAGTAAGTGTGTGTTTTGCTCAGAATTCAACATATTCTTTGTAATGAAAAGCCTCATATAACTAATGCCTTTTCTGGTTCATGTCCAACCAACAGTCATTTTCAGTCATGGACCTTTTCCTAATTTGAATTTTCTCTATTGAGAAGAGAGACTTGACTGGCGCTATAGCAGAGCCCCTTGAGTTCTCTTCTCCTGCTGTTAAGTAACAATTACCTGTTAAGCCCCCTCCCTACTCCCAACATTTTATCCATCTCTGCCTTCAAGGCTTATTAACTGCAATGAAGAACCATTCAGGAAGGCTGGCGATGAAGGAGTGGTGACAGGGTAACACCGCTTTTCCTCTGACTGTAGCTGAAGCACTTCTGTTTCCCTGCTCACTCACTGTAAAAAGAATTAGCATCTCTCTGGTTCCTAGAAGTGAGGAATACTGTTTCTAGCAATGTATTATTATTTTTTTAAAGATAAACTTGTTGGAGATGCAGAGGAGGTTGTTATAGTGGGATTTTACCTGTGTAAGAAGTATTGGGATAAGGTGTAGACATTTCTTCTGTTGTCTCACCTTCTCAAACCTTATGTTGTTGGTTTCTATTTGCAGTTATCACAATTGGTTAAAATTCAGTTCCGTTTAATAAATGTTCATAGGTCATCTACTGCATGTCAGGCATTATACTAGAGACAGCAAAATGATTTAGTCAGCTTTTCTGCTCTCAACAAGTTTACTGTTTATCAGGCGAAATAGCCAGGAATGTATCCAGCTGATAAATAATGCGACAAGAGCTCTATCAAAGAAGAGCACAAGTACGTAACTTTCTAAAAGTGATTCTTGAGACATCATCGACATATTTTTATCATTATTATTTATTTTGATTAATGGATAATTAGTTGAGAGGATCATATTAGTGTGTCCGTCCCTCCCACCCATAAAGAAATTTTAAAAGGTCAGAAAGAATCATGGTATTTCTCCAGGGTGCTATTGGAACTGAGTGTTAACACTCGTGAAAAGCAGCTTCTTAAACCTGAGGCTTTTCTCCAGCACATCCAGTTCCTCTGCCTTGTGCATGGAGGGTTTGCTTATCTTTGCTAATAAGTCTAACTGGAGAAACATCTTCTGTTGAAACTCTTAATTTCTTTTTACGAAAGCATAAGTGAATGTACAAATGTCCTATCAGAGACAAACATCCTTTTGGCTTGGGTCTTTTAACACACAGACTTTCAGTGTGGATGAGTTTGATTTCAATGGTGTGGACTAGTGACAAATCCCCAGGAGACCGAGCTTATGTGTTAATGTCTGCTTTGCTGAACATCAGTACCAGTGTGCTTGGGTGCATGATCTACCTCGTGAGGGATCCTAATGCAGCTTTCTTATTCCCAGCTCTTTGTCGCTGATGTAGTAAATCTCATTAAGCAAGAATGCTTTTTCTTTATTGGGAAAAAAGAAGTAAAGAGGACTAAATGTAATAGTTGTCTAAATAGAAAAGACATTCTTTTTTAGGGGAAGAAGATGCTATGATACAATAGAATTTTCAAATTTGAAGATTTGAACATATCTAGGGATGTATCCACCGAAAGTATAACAACTAATATTTGTCTACCAGTTCTCCATTTATGCAAGGCTTTTATATAACTGACTTACCCATTTCCTTTTCCTATTTTTTGGAGAAAGATGTGACGATCTGCTTCTGTAAAGATTTACAGCCTTGGAAACCTTAGGGGACGGTTCTACTCTGTCCTGTAGGGTTGCTTTGAGTGGGAACCAACTCCACAGCAATGGGTTTGGTTTGGTTTTTGGTTTCCCTGTATATATATTTTTTTCTTGGTTCCTTGCCTTAATTTTCTTTCATTTTTCCTTTTCTTCCATGGTTTTGATCCTGTGCTGCTTACCCCAGGATTAATATTGTATTTCTCATTTTACAGATGACAAAACCTAGTTTAGAGAAGTTAGATTCCTTCATTGGCACACGGCTCGTAAATGATAGGCCATACTCAGGCAGGGTTCCTGATCTCCAAAGTTGGGACTCCATGCTGTGTCAATCGACCTTCCAATTTTTTTTTTTTTTTGACTTGCAAATAATTTAACTGTAATGTCTAATATTAATATTCTAGTTAAATTCCCCTTAAGAATTTTAAATTTAACTTGGTTGTTTTGGATGATACCTGGTATAAAAATAATTTAGAATATTTTTGATCAGATAGTTGATTATATAAAAGTTGATTTTAAATACACTTTCTACTAATAATTATGTAAAAAGACAAATGTGGACTTTTCCCATTTAATAGATAATGCACAGTGTTTAACTGTGTAAGAAGAAGTCTGACATATCAACAGTAATTTCAAAATTACATATCATACATCTAGTTCTTTAAAAAAAAACAAGGATTTGGCAGGAAGGATAATGAGGCATAACTGTCTAATATGGGTAAAAATTAAATAATATACGGCTAAGAATGAAAGCAATTTGAAACTGTGTAATGTTAGTGTGCTCAACTAAGTGAGGAAGATGACTGTATCTAGGTCAAGGACACACAGTTCAGTCTCTCCTAAGCAGCTCACTTGATAATTACTCAGAGTCTTTTAACTTGTTATAAAGGGGAAAATACTCAGGAATTTGTTTTATTTATTTTTAAAAGTAGAAGTGAAACATGATTAATGTAATTGGTGTCAGTGAATTGTGCATGTAAAGAGTGTTGACTTGGCAAATACTGTGTTATATATATTTTTACCACCAAAAAAAAAAGAAAAGAAATAGAAACAGACCTTGCTAGCATTATTTAACCACAATTGGCAGACCTCCTTGGAGACTGTAGACCGGTACCGTACTTCCATCTGGTGGTAGCATCTGTAAATTGCAGGAGCAGAAAACACTTCAGTTAACTGAGAAATAAAGGATGGAGTGACTGCAAATATCAGACACCTTAAATGGAAGCAGATGTGCAGCTAATTTTATTTTCCTTTTAAATTCATTCTGGAAAGGACAAAGGTCTTTTTCTATTATAGTGTTTATTTTCAAAATTCTATGTACTCTTAAATAGTATTGGATGCTCTGCTAAAGCATTTAGTGCAGCTTCCTTTTTTTTTCTGAATTAAAAGCCCCAAATGAAATGCTTGTGTTTATAGCTCTTTTCTCAGCATTTTAGAAAGATGATTTTAAAATCAGCGTTTTCCATAACTTTCATTTTCATTCTCTTTTGTTTCTCATGTGGCAAAATACAAGGATGTGTGTAAGGAGGGGCCTGCAGACATGGGCAAAGTGAAGAAGGGAAGCCAAGGGAAAGTAGAGGGAGATGGGGAGGAGTGTGGTGGAAGCAGGACATGTGGTAGAGGTGAGGGATTGAAAAGGGTGGAGGGAAGAATGGCAGTGCCATGGAAGACGGGAGAGTTTGACCCATGCCCCCTTTCTGGGCCTCATCTCCTGTTACAGATCCTTCTCTTCAGCCCAACTGCCCCAGTGCCTTCTAGCTGGTACATGATTCTGGACCTTCACAGCACTGGTCTCTGCCTAGACTGCCCTTCTCTTCCGTTCATCTAGCTGACACCTATTTACTGTTCAAAACTCAGCTCAAGCATTACCTCCCTGGGAAGCTTCTAATTGTCATCTGTTAAATGACCTCCCACAGCACACTGTGAATGCCTCCATTGTAGTATTTATCACACTATATTCTAATTCAGAGCTTGCCAACATCATCTCAACACAGATATGGTGAGAAAATGATCTCTTACCCCAACGAGGGTGGGGCCAAGGGCAGACTCAGCCCCTAGATTAGTTGCCCCTGGCTGTGAGCAACCTCCTTCCTGTATCCTAAACCCCCCAAAAAACCAAACCCATTGCTGTTGAGTCGATTCTGACTCATAGGACAGGGTAGAACTCCCCACAGAATTTCCAGGGAGCGGTTGGTGGATTCGAGCTGCTGACCTTTTGGTTAGCAGCCATAGCTCATAACCACTATGCCACCAGGGCTCCCCTCATGTATTCTAGTGCCATAAATATTATTTCCTGTGTATGGATGAAGTTGGGAAGTGCTCTTCACATCAGTAATACGTTTGATCATTTCCCCAACAAGACTTCTTGAAGTCAGGTCAGTAAGTTGGAAATAGGGCTTCAAACTGGATTTGCATTTCTGACAAGTTCCCTGCTGAGAATTTGAATTTCCACCCCAGATATACTGAATCAGAATCTACATTTTAACAAGATCCCCCGGTGATTCCCGGTGATTCTTTTGTATAACTCTTTTGTGTATACTGGTGGATTTAACTACCAGTCACATTTTCTGCCCCTGGAGGTTTATTGGAGGCATTTGAGACACGTTAGTATGTTTTGGCATCATGGCAGATACTGGATGCAACTGCCTGAAAACAAGGAAGTTGGTGTGTGCCACGTTTGAGTGTTGATAGCCATTCGTATGAGGGGATGCTTCCCAGAGGAGTGATTGTGTGAAACTTTTGTGTCTTTTGGCTTCGTACAGCGAGATCATGCTTGCAAGTACGTTTACTTTTTCTTTTGTGTTATTGGGAAGGTACAGTTACCAGCATTTGGAAATATTAAGTAAGTGAGTTAATTTTGGTCTGAAAACAGTTTGTGATGCATTTCCTGGGCCATGGGACTGCTGTGTACTGTGTGTGTGATGTGCTTCGTGGAACGTGGGACCGATATGGCCTGCTTCCATTAGTCACCTCCCTGATGACATCTTTTATAAAGTGCTTGTCTCTGTAATGGCATTTTTTATACACTTCCTGGGCCATGATACCAATATGTACCACGTTTGTGATATATTTCATGAAACATGGTACTGATATGGCCCTCTTGAAATTGGCACCCCATTTTTTCAAATAATAAAGAACTGCTAACAAGCAGTGATTCAGCATCCATTCCATTAGTGAAAAAACATGGCATCACCAAAAAATTCTCCCCCTAAAAAATTCATCCTTTAAAGGGAATTTGTTAGAAATGCACATTCTCAGCAGGGATTCAAACAGGTTCCAAGATCTAGTTGGAAATTCAGCTTGTATCCCCACTCCCCAGCTGTTCTGGGGAACTGTTCTCAGTCCTCTTACCTCACTGACCACAGGTTGTCACTCTCTTTTGCTGATTTCTCCTTTTCTTTATGACTCCTGAGCACTGGACTGCACCAAGACTCAATCTTTGGGCTCTTCTCTGTCTGTCCTCACTCCATAGGTTAGTGCTTCACAAACCTAACGTGCCTTCTAATCACCCGGAGATCTTGTTAAAAGTCAGATCCTGACTCAAGTAGGTCTGGGACTGAAATTCTGCGTTTATAATGAGCCCCCAGGTAATGCTGGTGCTACTGGTACAGAGGCACATCTAGAGTAGTAAGGTTCTGTTGTTGTTTTTAGCTGCCATCGAGTTGGCCCCCGACTCATGGTGACCCCATGTACAACAGAAGGAAATGCTGCCTGGTCCTGTGCCAGCCCCATGATCAGTTACAGATTGGACCATTGTGATCCATAGCGTTTTCTTTGGCTGATTTTTCAGATGTAGATCACCATTCCTTAGTCTTTCTTAGTCTGGAAGCTCTGCTGAAACCTGTTCAGCGCCATAGCAACATGCAAGCCTCCTCTGACAAGACAGGTGGTGGCTGTGCATGAGGTGTCTTGCCTGGGAATCGAACCCAAGTCTCCCACATGGAAGGTGAGAATTCTACCCCTGAACCACCACTGTCCCCAGCAAGGCTCTGGGATACCCTTAAGTCATCTCTTCTTAAAGTCTCATGACTTTAATGCCATCTAATACGCTGACAAGTCCCAAATTTATATCTCCAGGATGGATCTCTTCCCCTGAACTCTAAACTCACATATCCAGTTGACTACCTGAGAATTCCATTTGGATGTCTAAAGACATCTTGAACATAGTATTTCTAAAATGGAACTAATTTCCACCATCCTACAGATGCCTCCGCAACTCTCCCCTATTTCATTAAGTGGCAACTTTTTTTCTTCTTGTTGCTCAGACTCAAACCCTTGAGTCTTCTTTGACTCCTTTATTCTCTCACACCCTGTATTTAACCCATCAGCAACTCCTGTCAGTTCTGCTTTCACAGTATTTCCAGAAGCTGACCACGTCTCACTACTGACACTGCCTCCGCTCTGGGCAAGCCACTGTCGTTTGTTGTCTGGATTTTTGCTGCAGCCTGATGGTCTCCGCTTCTGCCTTGTACTTCCTGCAGTCTACGCCTCTGTTCAAACCCTGCAGTGACTTCCCTTCTTTCTCAGTAGAATCCACCCTATGTCAGTGGTTGTAACCTGGAGCATTTGAAAACTATCAGTGCTTGGGCCCCACTCTTGGCCAGTTAAATCACACTCTCTGGACATCGGAGTCTAAGCTTTTGTTTGTTTGATCTTGACAGAAGCTCCTCTGCTGATTCCAGTGTGTAGTCTACAGGATCTGGCCTTCACTTCCCTCTCTGACTTTGTCTCCTACAACTTTCTCCTTCACCCATTTCTGTTGCAGCCTTGCTTTTCCTCAAATAAGGGCAAGCATGCATATAAAAATTCCTGAAATAAACCCTGCTTCAAACAAGAGAAGCAAAGGAGAGCAAGAGAGTTCTTGTCATCATACTGATGATTTTAATCGAATTTTTAAGAAGTATATATACAGCACTGAAAAATGGTCAGCTTTGAAACGGATGCCTTTTTGTCTTGATTTAAAAGTAGTATGCTATTTTGCTTAGTTTTATATGCAGCGGTCTAAACTTTGTCATTATTTACCAAAAGATCCAGTTACCAGACTTTCTCCAATATATTTTAAAAAATGTGATACCATCTCACTCCTTTTATAACCTGCAGTGGCACATCCCTTTCTGCAGCATTTGTTTTCTACTGTGTTGATGCTAACAGAGCTGAATGTGGTTATCATGGGTTTGAAATTGTCTTGCTTTTTACTGAAGATTCCGTATGTGCTAGTTTTGCTTTTTTTTTTTTTTTAAGTAATATGGGAACAGGTTAAAAAATTCAACCATGTGAAAGGGCATATAGTGAGCAGTAAGTCTCCTTCCTGCCCCTGCCCCTGCCCCTGCCCCTTTTGCCCAGCCCTCAATTTTACC